AATTTACGATACATTACATAAACAGGAAAACTGAGACCCTGTATTAATCCTCCACACTTTGTTCTAATTTTACTGTAAATGGCATAATATTATTGGGTCAGACACTTGCCGGTGTTTTATTTTTTTTCCCTTCATAGCCATGATTGTCTAATATGTAATTACAAATTACATGATACAGTAGGTTAAGCTATATCACTTTTTCCGACCCCAGGCATGTTCATATCTCTGGTCCACATGTGACAGAGCTGTGTAAAAGTATTTTACATAACAACACAGGAAATGGGAGGACTACTGATGACTACTTTCTGACTATTTACTTTACTTTCATTTTAGTTCAAGTATGCAAAACCTCAAAAAAACATTTTTCTGGGTAAAGTACTGAGAATGAAGAATTTGTTTTTAATGGTAACATTTTAACATAAGGGACAAAGTCCAGAGTGGTTACCAGAAGTGAGTGAAGAGTAAATCATGAACTAATGAAGAGTTAGTTAGTTAGTGCCTGAACAAGTTACTGAATAACTCTGAATCAAGGACACAGCTTTTAACTAATTGCTAATTATTAGCATCATATCACATTTTACATATCATTTTGTGTCCTCTCAAGTCAAGTGGTCATTCATTAAAAAAGCACTTCAGCAATTCAGTATTGCACTTCCATGAAGTTGCAGGGTTCACATGAGGTAGATTCAAAGTAGAAATCAAAGCAGCAGAGGCCAACCATCCTTACTTTTAGTCCCCAGCATGGATCAAGCTACTGGATCCTACATTTCCCATAATGCAACCAATAGCATCTGTTTGTAAGACCCTCACTACCTGATAAAAGCCCACATTTCTCAAACTCCCCCATTTTTATTTCAAGTTCCAGTTTAAGTTTATTTTCAAGTTTCCTCCTGTTTAACAAGCTCAGATGTTCTTCTCACGGCCAGAAAACCAGTAAACTGAGCTTATGTGTAAATCAGTAAAGTTCCTTTTTAATTTGTTCTTTTTTTGATTGCAACTGCACAGGCATTTGAGTACATAACTGGTAACTGCTATCACCATTGTATCAGTGACAAGTAATGACATTTTCCTTTTACCTGTGGCGCCTGATTTGGGTTTTGCTTGAACCTGCACTTTATTTCATTTAGCATTCCAGGAAATAACGTTTCCCTTCAGATCTAATTCTCTGTAGTATCAGTGTGTCTACAGGAAACAAGGTGACTGCGGCAGCTTGTGGTCATCAGATGAACACTTTACAGCTCCCTGATTACCCCCAATGCAAATGTGCAGCAAGATTAGCCGGCTGTCTGTGTTAGACTGACTGTGTTTTATGGCTCCAGATAGGCAGGCTGGAAGCTGCATAGCTTCATCTGGATGTCACATGATGAGTCACAGTCAAATCTGAGATTGGCATCGGTTTTGTAACAGACAGGAAGGCTTTAAGATTAATTAACTTTTTTAAACTTACCCCAGTAAACATCACTTCACAGGCATGTAACAACGAGACAGACTCAGCTGGGTACTAGTTAAGATACCAGCAGTGAGCCATTAGGACCACTAGATGCCTCCATTTGTTACCAGAGGAATGCTGCTCCTCCAGTGTCTCATTGATATACACTCAGGTTTTTATACACACACACACACACACACACACACACACACACACACACACACACACACACACACACACACACACACACATATATATATATATATATATATACAGTATATATAAAATTGTGTGTCTGTATATGTTTTGTTTTATTTTGGCAAATTACAGTGTTGGTGATTTCTGTGCTCTTATTTAATCTAAATTTTCCAGCAAGTAACTATTCTTAAACTACTCATTTGCCTCCCCATACTAAATTAACCTTAATTCAAATATCACATTACAGTAAAATGGCTTCGGAAAAATGCAGTGTCAATGTGTCTCACAGAAAGAGACAATGAGGAAGTGATGTAACAGTTTGGTGTTTTCAGTGTAGCTGTTAGAGAAACAGACAGCTCAAGGCCGCTGAATATCTGCCTCTTCTCATTTATCATTAATTAGGTTAGATGATGCTTTCACATTCACTGTTTATAGTGTGTGACAATGACCTTGTGTGTTTGTGTGTAGAGGTGAGATCATTTTTTTTTTAAAAGGGATGAGGAGGAGAAGATAAGGAAGGAAAGAGGAGTTCATTTAGTTGATTGGTGCGAGGTGGGGAAGGCGAGGATGTGTGGGAGAGATATATGGGCGGAGAGGAGAGGACTCTGAAGTGGGTCATAAATACTGAAGAAAGAGGGAAGAGAGAGAGAAAGAAAAGCATGTTCGATAACATGAGATGTAGTTTAGCAATTAGCTTTAATGGTAGTGGTCAAAATAATAGCGAAGAGAGGTAAGTTAAAGAATCAAGGATTTTGAAGGGGCCTTCATATTGTAGTTACATTGCAATCAGTTTTTTTTTCTTTTGTTTTTCAATAGGATTCAGTTGGTTGTGTACACATCAACAAAACCTTTGATACCAACACATGCAACAGAAAGGTACCCACGCACTGGACTTTGAACTCTTAGTTATTTTTCAACCCAGCATCTTCCTCAGGCAAATACCCACATGTTCTGTATGATTTGACCTATATGTCACTAATCAAATCTTTGTGAAATAGTTTTGGAACACTTTCTTATTTTCTTTCTTTCTAAATTGATAAGCTCACGCTACCCTCATGTCCTTATCTTAAATACATAGACGGTACATAAAGATGGACGCGGCCTCCGTGACGTCACCCATAGGTTTCTGAGGAGTTGTTTTGAAGCAATCACCATCTTGGCAGTGCCTGAAAGAGATGTGGTGTAATAATAATTAATTAATAACAATAATTAATAGTTAACACATTATATCTTGTTTGGTTGATTTATACAAAAGCTAAGAATGACATGTTGAGGTTTTAGTGTATGATATGCCAGACTATTCTGTTTCCCCCTGTGTCCCACAGTTTTTGCTGGGCTAAGCTAACAAGCTGCTGGCACTAGCTTCCTATGTATTTACCATATGAACTCTTGGCAAAAAAGAGTAAAGATATTTCCAGATTGTGGTCACTCAGTCTCAATTTAATTAAAGTCTTTCTCAATTTCTGGTCACTGAAGGTTCCTTGATAATCTGCCACGGGTTATTGGCTGTTGAGGTTTACCTTGAGTGACTTGCAGTGAAATGGTTGGGACCAGTTTTGGACATATTCATCAGGTTTTCACAAACATGTACATAACGTGTAAATAAGCTACAGTTTGCTAACACGTTAGCCACATAAACTTGTTTAAAAGTGATGATATGTCTGTGTTTGTGTTTCTGCCAAAAAGTAATTTATTTCAGGTTTAAATGACTTGTTTGCAAATATTTGTGTCTTTTATTATTGTATGTGAATACCAATTTACACAATAGTATAGTATATATTATATACTGTAGTAATATGTCTTTTTTTATATCTGTTTTTTTCTTACCATCAGAATTATTATACTAACACTGTGAACATTACCCAACCTGCTTTGGCAAAGCTGTATTGTCATGCTAATAAAGCAAAAAAAAAAAAAAAAATGACGTAGTGTTTGTGCTTCCCCAGTATTTGTGTTGATTAAATAGTGGGCTGTTTTCTGCTGGTCAGATCAGAGAGCTGACAGGGAAAAGCTACCATATGGCAAGACAGGAAGGAGGGAGAAAGAGAGCACAACACGCTAAAGAGGGGAGAGACAAGAAATGACAGGAGGTTGTAAGGAGAGAGAGAGTGAGAGAGAGGAGCAGAGTCGGAGGGGGGAGAGTGTAAAAAGCAAGAGGGAGAGCACGAGAGGATGAGCAAGAGCAGCGAAAACATGGGGATAACAAAAACGGTGGCGACCGGAAAAAAGAGTATAGACCTGGGTGACAATGAGTTGCGTTGGTGGGGGTTGGAGGTGAGGTGGGGGGTGGAGATGAGTGAGAAACAGGGTGAGTGAGGTGGGTGGCAGAGCCTACAGCTTGGACGCAGAGGAGGTGACAGTGGGGGGTGTTCACTGCTCAGTGATGTGTTATGATCCGACCCCCCCAACTACACACACACACACACACACACACACACACACACACACACACACACACACACACACAAACATGTTTTTGTATCTTAGGAGGACATTGATTTTGATTGATTGACTTGCATGTAGTCTCAGAAACTTTCCTTTCCTCACAAGCTAAAGCTGGAAATATTCTATATTTCTCGAATGAAAACACCAAAACTAACAATGCTCTTCGACATCCTTATCCAGTCTGTTTCTCTCAAACCCAAACCTACTGGTTCCTGGTGGAGAGACAAATCTTTAAAGACAGGTAATGAATATATTGTTTCATTTTTTGGAAAAAGGCTAAATAATTTCCTAGACCAGCAGGGCACTGTAGTTTTTAACGAATGTTATTCAAACTGGGGTAAAGAGCATACGTATTGAAGACTATTTTCTGTCGTGGATTAATACACATTCGGTGCTTTAGTGAGTATTTACGTCAGTGGGACAGTAAATGTGGGATTTCCTCAAACTAAACTACAGTGCCTATGTTCACATTAATGAAGGAAAATGTCATCCAGTGCAGTGTTGAGGCTCATTGGTGTCTATGGCACAGAGAAATTAGCTGTATCAGCCTTTTGGCAACACAGAAATTGTTAGTGGTAGATTTGTGCTGGTACCATAATTACAATATGGAATATCACTAGCCTTCATCCTAAACCTTAAAGGTTTACCTTGTGAGAACGACCTTTTGGAGCTGGGTCCCCGTAATGTGACTGTATGAACACATTTATGTCCCCACAATGTGATTAATACACACACATACACACGCAGAGTCTCTCTCTCTCTTGCTCTCTCTCTCCCTCCCTCCCTCCCTCTCTATCCAACTCCCTTGCTTGCTCTCCCTCATTCTGGCTCTGTTGCCAAGGCTACCATACAGCCTCTTGCTGCATATACCTAGACGAAGCTGCCGCCTGTGGATCTCTCTCTCCTCCAGGATACAAACAAAAGAAAACCCATCAGACTTTCATACCTCTATCTCTCTTCCACACACAGACACACACACCCACATTCATAGATTCTGCCTTTCCCCACCTCACGCGCATCCTTTGCCTCTCTCTCTGTCTCTCACTGTCGGTCTGTCTCCTTTCTCCCCATGCAAACACATTCATTCTTCTCCCAGACAGAGGAGCAGTAAAGGGATTGGCGTGGTTCTTGGTGTTTGGCTCCTTGTTTTTGGCTCACAGGGAGCAGAGCGGCAGATGGCGATGTGAAGACGGGCTCAGCCAGGTAAGAGGACTTATCCTAACCAGACTTAAGGCTCTGGGTGAGTGACTGTTCCAGCCCTCCTCTCCTCCCTCTGTCTCTCCCTCTTTCCCCCTCCGTGGCTGTGCGACATGAGGTGAATACCAATTCCTCAGCAAAGCCCCCATGGTTCATATGGCTGCTGCGCTTTCCTGGCTGTGAAAAGGTAGGGATGTGTGAAGTGGGCTCTGTATGTGTATGTGTGTTTTTTTCTCAGATTATTAAAACTGATCATTTGCCAACAGGTTGGCTCTTTGATGCTGTTATTAACTGTGTATTTCCTCTCTCACCATTATTATACAAAGCTTGATTTCCTCTGTGTTGTATCATGTCTGTGTGACAATGTGGGAGTTACCAGAGAGAGATGCAACAGTCCACCTCCCTGGGTGATTCATTACTAATCCATCCAGCTCTGCACTGTGTGGCCGCTCCAGCTCACCGTAGCCATGTACGTGATATGAATGGTGTTTTGTCTTAGTATGAATGACTGCCAGAGAATGCCATTCTTGCACTGGTGTTTTGATGCAGTGCAATCATGTAATACAATCCTTTGTCACAAGGAATCCAGATTTATCTCCAGCAGCCTGTAAATCAATTTGCTATGCAGCACATTTCAATTATTTACACAGTATAGCTTAGGCTGAAGTTTATATGTGTGTTAATGAGATTTCTCTTTGAAATGCCCCTGGAGCTGCTGCAAGAGATTGTGGGAGTGTATGTAAACAATAGAGCTGATTGATTATCTGTCTGTGTGATATACAGGAGGAAGCTGCAGGATTGCTGGGTATTTCATTTTAAGGTCATTTTGAGCTTATGTGTGTATTAATATCAAGGTTTTATCTGTGTGAGTGTGTTTGTGTGTGTGTATGGGAGAGAAAGGTTGATGAGGCAGGTCTTGGCCCTCGTGACTTTATCTCACATTACCATCCCATCATCACTTTCAATAAGAGCTTCCTCTTACCTCGTCTCCCTGCCACATGAGCACTTCAACAGCATGCTCGATACTTCACTCACTTGGTTCACCTGGAAACAGGAAATGCTGTATAACTGAAATGTTCCTTTAATGATTAGGACAAAAGCCAAATGTTTTTAAAAATAGAGTAGAAAAGCAGATTTGGACACATCGTCTTTCCAGACGGAGACACTAGAAGCATCAGGGATATCCAGTAAAACATGAGCCAGCTGAGCCGTGAGCCATCTCACCAAAAGAACAAAACAGGAGACCACGTTAATTCCCCTTGTTCCTGACTCCAGGAAAGAGCTTTACACAACTGTCACAGTATACAGTCACTCCTGGTCATGTGGTTCTCCTGGGACAGAGGCCACAGGTTTATTGTATGGCTCCGTTTAAACTCAGCTGGATGTTGGATGCTTTGAATGGACGCAGATCAATGGAAACACTACGCACATACTCTATTTGAAGACTGAGGGGGTGGTGCTTGTAAAGACCCAAAGACGGTCGACCTCCAGTGAGGAATGAGGCTGAATCAGCTGTCAGGTTTGACTTCGGCTATTTGCCACAAATCCATTTGGCCTGGTTGTACATGATTCAGAAACAGTGTGTTTAAATAGAAATATCATTGCTAATTGATGTTCATTGATCAAGCCTGTTGAAGGGGTTCTGCTACAATATACAGCATTTCATCGCAATTTGTTATTGTCAGTCACTCTCAGTGTGCATTGTGTGTAAGCTAAAACAGACACTTTCTGTGTATTAATAACAACCATCATCACGGACCGTCATCCAAAGATACCACATACGTTAGATGAAGCTGAATTGTGGGGAAATGTGTTTAAAAATGCACAGACAAAACAGTTCTATTCAATGGAGTGGTGTAGTCATAAAAAAACAAGAAGTGTTGGTTTAATGTTTTCGTCAAGTAAAGCTTGAATGAAGAGCTGGAACATATGGAATATATATGAAACTGTGAAATAAGGCAGATTTAACAAACTCAGATCTGAAATCTCAAAAGGGAAACAAAAGAGAAAAAGAGTTTATTCAATGCAAGGCTGTAGTTACCATTGCTGATACTGAGGGAATGTGCTCAGTATTTTTTTCTGGCAATTTTGGATATTACATTTTACATTTTGTTTCCAGTATTTTTATCATTTATATATAAACTGTGCAACTTTTAGGCCTGTAAAAGATTATTTAGTATTGCCCCACTGGAATTTCTGGTAGTGACAAATAGCTTTGATACAGCAGGGTGGGGTGTAAAATACAAACAAATTCATTAAATGGTTAACAGTTTAAAAGAATACTTTGTTACTAGAATTTGTTTTTGGTGTCTGGTCAAATTTTTCTGATGTCGGAGGGCTTATGACCTCCGACAGTATTTTTAAGTCCTAGCAATAGCGTTGGTTAAATGTACCAGACAGTTTGCCAACAAACTCTCAGCAGCAAAAGGAAGGGACTGAAAAACAAAGATATTTACCTCAAAGAATGAAAGCAAAGAGAGACAGAATTCTTTAGACAAACGTGAATATTGTCACTGCTCTCCCAGTGCAGATATGTTTGTGTTTTTCATTTTTCATGCAGTGTGTCTGCCAAGGTGTATGTGTGTGTGTGTGTGTGTGTGTGTGTGTGTGTGTAAGTGTTTGTGTGCACACTACAGTATGTTGGTTGCCACAGTTACCAAAACGCCAACCTCACTGCGTCATTGCTTCAGACAACCTTCACACAAAAAGAGCTGCTTTTCCTCCCATTCATCCCTCCATCCACTCATCTACCTGTCCATCTATTGTTTAAAAATGGAAGTACGTTGAACTTTCACAGCTTCACTTATACAACACTATCTCTGTGTGTGTATGTGTGCGCATACTTTAAATGTGTGTGTGTACATTGTATATATGCACGTTGCCATGGCTACAGGCCTGGCGTCATCACTTCAAAACCACCTTCGCAGCAAGCAAAGGGAGATAGAAAAGGACTCAAAGCTGCTCCCCTCTGTTCAACACTTGCACTCATACACAAAAACACACACACATACACACACACACACACACACACACACACACACACACACACACACACACACACACACAAACACACTACTGGTGTGGTCTCATATTCCGCTGAGCTCACCCCGTTCGTTCAACAGGGTCCAGTGGCACAGAAGGAGAGGTTTGGAGACGATAGAGAGAGGAGAGCAGAGAAGGCTTGACTTTATGCATACTGATTCGACTGGAGCTGAATGTATTTCTGAGGTCGTCTGCTTAGTCTGGCTCCAATCATCCCTGCCTGTTAGGGAGGGAGAGAGAGGAAGAGAAAGAAAGAGAGGGGAAGATATATTGACAGTTTACTGTGTCACCTTACATCACCATCCGCCGGTCATGAAAGCACAGCTGGGAGCTGACAAGGGTGCTACTCTGATCCATCTTTAGATGAAACTGGATTGCTAACGCTGTCTCAGTGTGACCAGCTGAATTAGAGTCACAAGGTGTCTCTGCTGTAGCAGTTTGTGATAAAATTGAGAATGTGTTTAAATAAATTGTAACTCCATCTTTATCTCTGAACACATGAGATGAACTGTTTGGATCTTGTCTTCTGTCCTTCAGATTCCACTCTGCCGCACAATGGCTGACAACGGCTGGTTGCTACAGGATACAGGATTTAACTTGATCATGTGATCTGACTCTCTCCCCAGTTCCCTGTCATCTATCATAGGTGAGTCATGTGACCGGCTGTATAGTTTTTTCATAATCCAGTAAGCCAACTGAGAAATCACCTTCTTGGGCAATGTGGGTCGGTAGTCATTGATGAAAACTCACTAAACTCACTCGCTACAAATGTAGCCATCAGCAACACATTCACACAAAAGCGATATGTGCGCAAACAGTACACCACCACTCTCACAAGCCCCCGCATTCACACATCCGCACAGACCATGTGGCGGTAATCAGCCAAATGTACAAAACACCTTTATTAATGGTTGAAGGACAAAAGAGCAGGGCGGAAAAGGGCTTTGAATACACTGCTGACTGATACAGAGAAGCTGTGTGTGTGTATGTGTGTGTGTGTGTGTGTGTGTGTGTGTGTATGTATGTGTCTGTGTTGTCAGTAGATGATAATGCTCAGGACGGATGAGAGAGATGAGAGCCACTCTGTTGCCAAGGCGACGGACAGGGCTGTAAACACGCTACCCCTGACTCATCTCTCCACAATAGAGCCTCTCTCTCTCTCACACACACACACACACGCACATACACACACACATACACACTCTCTCTCTCTCTCTCTCTTTCTCTCTCTCTCAAACACACACACAAACACATTCACACAACAGAGTCCAATCTGAGCAAGACAAGAGGATCCAGAGATGAGAGCCACTCCAAGCCGCTTAGCTATACATCTGAATAGGCCTGTGGAATAAACACAACCCTTTCTGTCATATACACGCTCATTTAAAAACACACAATCACACACACACACACACACACACACACACACACACACACACACACAACCTGACACAGCTAGCACATCATTGAACTGGTAATCAGTATGTAATTTGAAGTCTGCATCCTACACGGGCCGATTTTTAAAACCATTAAAAACAACACTGATATCATTGGCCTTTTAGAGTGTTAAACAACACACACTGGATATTTTCCTCAGTTAAGCAGTGTTTTTTCTTTTTTTTGATCATTCCTGAGCATCACTTTTCATCTTTCACTGTCATGTTAGATTTTCAAATGTCAAAAAAAAAGAATCAGAATCAGCAGTGAAAGCCCAGTGATCAAAAATGGAAGACATGTAAAATACCTTTATTCAACAGGGGGATCATGACCCGCCGGCTGAGCAGCTCCACTCGTTCCCACACCGAGGACTCCATCTTCCTGAGGCCTGACGAGGACCCCGTCTGGCTGGATGAGCCGACAAAGACTGAGAAAATAGGCGACGGAGCCCCTAAAAACGATGGACTCCCAGAATGCAAAGACGGACCCACAGGAGGCCAAAGCCCACAGGGAGAGGAAGTGTTCATGCACAAGGTGTGCGCACTTGTGATTGAGATCCACTGCTGGGCTGCACTGTTTGTTGTCTCCCAAGTCACGGTACGTGAATGGACATCAGTTGTAACCAGAAAAATGAAATAAAAAGTGGACAAAATCTTTTACTCATTTGTAGATGTCTGCTTTAGAATATGTTTTTTTTTTTCATGCACGATCTTTGGTTTCCAGCCGTGTAATTGCAACATTAGCAATTCAAATGACAGCTTCACACTTGAGCACTGGGTATTCTCTCAACTTGACCCTTATTTTTTCACATGGATTTTTCTTTTCATGTGCATCATTACATTGTCATATTCTCTAAAGTGCTTTATTCAGGGTTGGGAAATAATTTTTTATTTGGCTAGTGGACACACTGTTAGTATTTTTATGCTCTTTCCATCACTGTCTCCCTTGACTTCATGTTGGATTCATTCAAGAAAAAAAAGGACAGGTGCAACATTACCATATAAACAGAGCCTCGTAAATGCAGCCATGATTATGACACCAAACTGCATGTGGTCAATTTACATATTTTCTATGCCTACGCAATAGGCCATCTTCTTTTCTACTCTGCTCACTTTTCACCTGAGAGCAGCCACAGCGCTGCCTGATTACCAGTGCATGAATGACTGGAGCTGTGACAATCTGCCCTCCCTCCTTTTCTGCTCCCAGGGGTACTGGGTGTTTTTTGTGATGGAAGGAAACGGACCACTCTCTTCCATCTACAAAGCCCTGCAGGTCATCGACTTCTACCTTGGCTTCATCTTACCGTGCCACCCGATCTTTGGAATGGACGTAAGTGTCAGTCCTGGTTCTGACCTTGAGCTGCTGCAGTTTGTTTTGGATGGAGACCTCAAAGAAACAAACGCTGAAGATGTGATGGATCTAGTGTTTGCTGAGTCTATCTGCCTTTTCCTCTCTCTGTCTCTCTCTTTCTCTCTCTCTCTGTACTGGCCAGTCCATGGTGCTGATGAGGGAGGTGGTAAACACCAACCAGCACAACTGGATCATTCAGGGCACTGCAGGCATCGGCGTGGCCATCTGTATTATCATGGTAAAACAGACCATTCACTTTTATGCTAAAATTGGATTGTAGGACAGTCTAGAAACTAGAAAAGACTGGATTATTAATTTGTTCATTTGCAGACTGACTAGTTGCTCGGTTGATTTATTTGTTTATATAGATGCATGTTTGAAGAGAGAAACACGTCTTACATTTTTCTGTACATCTCCTCAGGCCATCAACATGGTGTATAAGTGGCGCTACGGTACTGGCTTCTGGTCGTCAGAAACAGTAGCGAGGGACATTGGTGATCGGCGTCAGTCAGTGAGCCGTCAGCCCTCTTTCACCCTGTCAGAGTGGACGGACGCTCAGGAGGATCTACTGGACCTGGACCCTGTGCCACAGACGCCGGTCTTTGACATGGGCACAGACACCAAGACAGAGGGAGACGCCGCCACCCTCACTGTCACACCTGTGGGGCTTCAGGAGAGGTTAGAATAAGAGAAGTTGTTTTACATTTATATCTGCATCTTTGAATTCCATATTGTCACATAGCAGATGGGTACAAATATTTTAATCTACATGCATTTGTCTGAATCTGTATATATCACACAGGAGAGGCTCCAATGTTTCCCTGACCTTGGACATGTGTACACCAGGCTGCACTGAGCCCTATGGCTACGGAGCCCAGCTCTCCCCGAGAGACCAGTCGGCCCAAGAGTACCTCCGACAGGGAACACACGTCCTGACCCCTGCCATGCTACACACACGGGCCATGGATGATCAGAGCCTGCAGGCTGAGTTTTATGTGAGTGCAGCAGCAGCTCAGCCACCTACACGCTTTAGATTACCAGAGATGAACAGAGACTCACTGGAAAAAACGTTCTCTGACACACACATAGACACGGGCACAAATGCACACACACACACACACACACACACACACACACACACACAAACACCCAGTAGAACTCTGCACACACCCGTAAGCTTTTCCACTGTCTGTTAGTGGGCGAAGGAAGGAGAGATACCGGCATATTTGCATACAATTCAAACCTACAGAGGATTCCAGGGTCTGCTGGGCAGAAAGATCTGCGTTAAAGATCATACACATTTTGCCCACAGCCTTTCAGTTACGTACAATCTGACAGCAACAGTTTAGTGTGAAGGGCAGTGGATGACTTAATGTCTTGGTTATTATTTCATAATCTTTTGTTGCCTTGTAGAAGGCAAGACTAGGACTTCCCCTACATTTCTGCAAGGGCTGATTGTTGTTGCACCAATTGTTCTATGTCCATCGGCAGGAAACTCCCATGAACTTTGTGGACCCTAAGGAGTACAACTACCCAGGGCTGGTGAGAAAGAATCGCTACAAAACCATCTTACCCAGTGAGTACAGCTTCAACATGAGTTAGAACAATCACTAAAAAAGGGATCATGAAGTTATAAATTTTGTAAGAAGCTTTTTTATGCCGCTTCCCTTTAATAATTTCACACGCTCATCTTCTATTTAGCACAGATGTGTTTGGGAAAGGTCTGTCTCTGTGCACCAGATTATTGATACTCACACTGAAACACAGCACACACAAAAAGATGTGAACCAATAAAATAAAACTGAGCTGTAATACGCAATACAATATATATGCTCTGTTGTTGTCCCTGTGTTACAAGTACAACCCTTCTATCTCTCTTATGATAATCCTGCATTGTCCAACTGCAGATACACACAGCAGAGTGATCTTGAAGTCACAGGACGAAGATGATTTCCTCACTACCTACATCAATGCTAATTATCTCAAAGTAAGTGAAAATATGTGGTTTTACAAGCAAAATCGGCTCTGAAATGTGTTGTAACTTCATTTGTTCTCTGTGGATCTAACCCTGTGTTCTCACTGTGTCCTGCTCACAATTAGGAGAGACTGATAACTATATGTGACAAGACAGTGTTTTGAATGTGTGTGTGTGTGTGTTTGTGTGTGCGTGTGCGTGTGCGTGTGCGTGTGCGTGTGTGTGTGTGTGCGTGTGTGTGTGTGCGTGTGTGTGTGTGCGTGTGTGTGTGTGCAGGGTTATGGGGGTGTGGAGAATGCATACATTGCCACCCAGGGTCCCACAGTGAATACAGTGGGGGATTTCTGGAGGATGGTGTGGCAAGAGAGAAGCCCAATCATCGTGATGATCACCAACCTGGAGGAGAAGAACGAGGTCAGTGTGGCGAAATGCAAGATCATGATGATGATGATGATGATGATGATGATGGATGCATTAATGGATAAATGCACAGCTACAGTGATAATGGGATGGGTAAAAATATCCACTTGTGTGTCAACTGTCTCTTGCAGAAATGTGCAGAGTACTGGCCCGAGGACACTGTGACCCATGAGGGCATCGAGATCACTGTCGTCACGGTAACTCAGGAGGATGACTACAGTCTTAGGGTGTTTACGCTAAAGGTAAAACACAAAGACAGTTACATGTCACTCAATAAGGGTGAATTTAGTGCACAAGAGTATTTAAACCAACAAGTTAAAGAGTCAAAACAGGCTCCAAAAAAAGTCTGTAGTGGTATTTAGCTATGCAGATAGCTTTGGTTTTACTGATGAATACAATAGAAGTAAATGGAGTTGAATTTCTGGTGCATAAGAAATTTTTATTAAAACAAAGCTAAGTCCACAGCCATGCCAACAGCTCTACTTTGGCACATTGTTGCTAACAATGACGATGCTAACATGCTGATAATTAGCTGGTATAATATTAACGATGTTCACTATCTTAGTCTAACATTTTAGCGTGCTAACATTTGGTAATTAGCACTATACAGAAAGTATGACTGATTGAGGCTGATAGGAACATCAGTAGTTTTGCAGGTACTTAGTCATAAATCAAAGTATTGGACAAATAAAAATGAGACCTGGAGCTAGATGAAAAGTCCTGACGGGAACATTTGTCTACCAAATTTATTTGAATACTGTGAGCAACATAAATGAAAGTCCATTCACTTCCATTGTATTGGGGTGAAAGAAGAAATTACAGAAAATTTGACAAATAAAACCAGAACTCTCTGCATGGCTATATAAAACAGGACAATGAGAAAACACTGTACAACTGTTGAGAACATGTGCGAACCAAACCTTTAACACATGTTGCATTAGCTGATCTTAGCTGCAGTATATCTGTGGACACCTTGCAGTGCGTTAAAACACTTTTTTCAGATGATTGGATGTGTCCACGCCACTGATCTCAAGATTAATATGAACCATGTAATAAAAACATGCCATCTGCCATCACACCAGATTGTGATCTTAAGTTCTCAGCATACCAAGCAAACCCTACCCAAGTTTTCGTTTTCCCAAAGTAAATGTTTTTATAGGACTGTTTCATCAGCTTGTCAAGGTGCTTACAGACTCACCACAGATGTGTTTTGGGCGATGTTTACTCAATGTTCTGATATAGCCATACTTTTTTCAGTTCCATTCATGTGTTCATGATGAGTGTTTTATATTTAATTTAGGGTCATGGTGGCACCGGCACTCAGTGAGCCAAACATGATAATTCAGTAAATGCAGCCTGCATCTGATTACTAAGCACCAGGGGTTCATTATACAACTATGCTCTGAGTTAAAAGCTTGTTGTTTATTCAACTCCTCTGGTTTATGTTGTCTATCTGTAGGATTAATAATTATTGTCGAACTGACACTCACAGAATAGAGGCAGCTGATAGATCTGATTATGTACAGTATGGGCAAGGGAGAAACAGACTATGTAAACTCTTTTCTATAACCCTCACTCTCTTTTCCTGTCTTACTCTGCATTCATTGTTGTCGTAGCAACTAACACCAAGGTAACAATTTGGATATACATGCAGAGCAACGGGCTGATCAAAAATCATTCTGTCTGTCCGTGTCGTGTACGTGTGCACAACATGATCACATCCGTATTTCACGCCTGTATGTCTGTCTATGTGTCCACGTGACTGTGTGTTTTCACCAGTGTGGCGAGGAGGAGCGCAGTCTGCAGCAGTACTGGTACACCTCGTGGCCCGATCAGAAGACCCCAGACAAGGCCCCACCCCTGCTGGAACTGGTACAGGAAGTGGAAAGGGCCCGAGAGGAAGCCCCGCCCTCCAGCGGCCCTATAATTGTTCACTGCAGGTACGTAAGTAACTTGTTCTTTAGCTTGAGTTAATTTGAAAGACATTAAATATGTGTTCAGAGGGCTCTGAGTCAAATGGGCAATAATAAACCCCAGTTGATAATATACTGTAAGAGCATAGGGGAAATTGTTGAATTTTTCTTTTTACTATAGAAAACACTTGGCACTCTTTCTGTGAGCAAAGCATTTGTCCGGTTTTTGTTTTTCATTTGTCCGTTCCAATCCTCCGCTCCCGCCTGATTTCTCCAGGGAATATTTGGCATCAGTCAGATTAGAGGGATCAGTGCTAATCAATAAACCAATCCATCCATTCTCATCTTCTCCACCCTCCACCCTGCTCCATCCCTTCACCTCTCCAACTTATTCTCCGCAGTGCTGGAATTGGTCGAACTGGCTGCTTCATCGCCACCTCCATCCTGTGCAAGCAGCTGAGGACTGAAGGTGTGGTTGACATCCTGAGAACCACCTGCCAGCTCCGTCTGGACAGGTGAGATATTCTTAGCCTGTGCACATGCTCATGTCCATCTTTAGGTCTCATAAAGCTCTCATAAAAGCCCAGGTGACGTAGTTAAAGTTGATTATGTTCCAAATCACAAGCTAAGTCTCTTGGGCGTTTACCCCAAAATGAAAATTTTGTGAAAATCAATGTATGTATGACCAACGGCCAATCAATCAAACATCACAGTCAAAATAGAGTCATCACACTAAATTACTAAGTCCATCATTTGACATATGCAACATAATTCAAGAGTTTTTTTTAAATAAAAAATGAGAGCCCTGTGTAGTAGTTAACAGTTTTCACATGAGTATAAATGAGGCAGATATTCCCCACAAAATGTTTTGGCTGCAGAACCTCTTTCATTCACACATAGCAATCTGACAATGTCATAGTCTGAAAAGCACAGGTGTATCTAATAATTTAATCTAAGGGTACTGTCCTAGTGAGCCAGCGTGCACGACAGCTTTGCATGGGCTCACCTACATTGTTATTAGTGTTATTAGTCACACCTGTGTTTGGCAAGTCAGAATGTTGTGGTCTATTGTGTTGAATGGGCTGTTTGAGAAAATGTAATGAACATTTTATTCTTTGCTGGAGCTGTTAAAAGGTGACCCAGTTTTACTTCAATATAAACATATAAATAAAATGTATAAGAAAAACAAACAAAAAAACATATAACAACATAACATATTAGAGCAAATTCAATGCATGAGGCATCAGTGCAGTGTTGACTAGAATTAAGGTAAGCAACTACAAAACAACTACAATTTTATACAAACAAAAGACGTAGAAACTGAAACAAAAAAGGCAAAGTATACAGAAAATATAAAAAGCCTTTATTGCTGAATTCTCTGTTTTGAATTCCAATATCAAGAAATGAATTTTCAAATTTCAAACTGTTCTTTAAGACAGAGCCAACTACATAGCTCTGGGCTACAGCAACAACTTGTCTTATGAAAAAAAGGAGTTACAAGGAGTTACCAAACATTTTACACTTTACCTGATCATCTAGATGTGAGGATGAGTAAATGTTGTATAACAGGCTATCTTGACAGCACACATAGCTTTTGATGAATGCCATACCAAAGATGTAGCATACCTTAAGTATACCCTTTTACAAACCTGCACCTGTATGTAGGCACAGCTGTGCTTTCATATAAATGCTAACATCAAATCTAAGTATTAGACAAACTGAAATGTTGACCTGATGATGGCACTAGATGAAAAGTCAGGGGATGACGAAAGTAAGTACAAGTCAACTTATGGGGACCATGAATGTCTGTGCCAAATTTCATAGCAATCCATCCAAAAGTTCATCCATTAACTCAAAACCACAAACATCAACCTCATGGTGACACTAAAGGAAAAGTCACAGGGTCAACAAAGTTAGTAGTATTGATCCTCTGGGGAACATGAATGTCTCTACAAAACTTTATGGACATTCATCTTACAGTTGTTGAGATATTTCAGTCTGGACCAAAGTGGTGGACTGACTGACCACCGCTAGTGTGGCTAAAACAAATTGCAAAACATATTTTTTTTCTATCTGAATTGTTGTGCTTGTCTTTCTGTGTGTTTGTCAGGGGTGGGATGATCCAAACGTGTGAGCAGTACCAATTTGTGCATCACGTCCTCAGCCTGTATGAGAAGCAGCTGCCTCACACTGCTGAGGAGTAGTAGAGTGAGCGCTACAGCCAGACCGAGACACACCACTGTACACTGTACCACCTCTGGTGGTATGCACCACTGTACCTAGCATCATCTCAATCTCACCCTTTAACAAGTTCAAACCATGGTAATCTCCTCACCCAAGACAGGCTTGCTCAGACAGGACTGAATGGCTGACATGAAATCTGTGCTTATTGTATGTCTTTGAGCAGAACAAACAAATGACACTTATGTGTTATTTATCCACACAGTCCTGGAGAGTCGCAACAGCCAGGCCCAAAATAATCCAAGCCTGCAATCCCAACATCATTTCATTTGCACTGCTGAGGTTTTTATCAGGTTACTGTACATGATACCCCCCCCCCCATACTGTATGTACAGTTATCAAAAGGTCAAACTGGAACTGAAGTATCATCAGACCACCTGCAGTTACAAGGTTATTGAAGAAAGGAAATTCAAGTTCAGTCTCCTGAAGTTAGTGTCAGTAATAAGGGCCCTTCACAGTACAAGTGCCAGCATAAATTAAATCCACAGAAATGATCAAATGCCAGCCTAATATTTAACTCTATATAGATATAAAAGTTCATATTAAATATAAGTTTTAACTAACATCTGGCTTTTTCTCACTAACTCTCACTGACTCTCACTTTAATGTAAAAAAAATCATTACAGATGGCCTGTTTCAACTTTTGATGCATTCAGGAGCCACCTCATTTTCAGGTTGCATGGTGCTAAGTGTTCATTAAAGGCATGTGCAATGTTATGGAACATAGGAATGTATAACAATTAGGTTAATGATTAACTAATTAGGATTTCTGTGCAATCTACAGTATTACAGTTTTACCATGCTGCCTGTGCAGTCCTCATGGCCCATGATGTTTACAGTAAACAACTCCTGCATTAAGGCCACATAGACGTACACTCAGAGGCGTCACAGAGCTAGTGACGCTGAGGGTACAGAGGCCAGAAATATCAGACCATCAAAAAAACATCAACACAGAGCTCTGGAGAATCTGACATACACACACAGGGAAGTGTAATGCAGAGGAAAGCAAGATGCTGCACCATGAATTGATAAAAAAAATGCTAACACAGCTAATGTTCTTGTACATGTCACATTACCATCATCTTGCCATCCTCAAAGTTACATGCTCTGTGACGCCTCGACTTTCAACAGTAGCTTGAACACATCTGTGAAGTAAGAAGCCCATGATTGTTGTATAGACAGGCCAGGCCTAATCTGTATGAAGCACAATAGACCAACTAAGGTTGTCTCTCTGATGTTCAGCTGTAAAAGTTCTTTTTTTCCCGTATTGTGTTTTGATTGTGTTGAGTTTAATGGATTGCATGTGCTGTATGGGGCTCCATAGGTCCACAATCAAAGCGACGTGATTGGTTGTCCTGCTTTTTGTTGTGTATAAGGGTTTAAGCCTATTATATTGCTTGCTCTCGGCCAATGCTTTTGATACAGTTTGCTTTTGTGAAACCAACCAGAGATATTTTTAGAAAATTTTGATACAATCCTTTCGAGTAGATGCCTTGTGTATATTTCCGTTTACACCATGATGGAATGTAGCTCATACTGTGGATCAAACCATCGGTTTATATTGCAAGATTTGACAGAACAAAATGTGACAACTACCTAAGTTACCTTACAGTACAGAAAATAAAAATAGATTATGTTCAGTCTTCAGTATTATTACTTTATGCCTTTAGGCTTTGCTTTAATATGCTTTGCTTTCTGTGTATGTTTTTATCGTTTTCTTGGAGAATTTTACCTCAGACTGAGTTTTTACGCAGTCCCCACTCTAGTCCACTTGTGACTCTAGGCCACTCTCAGTTGACAACACGAGAAATAATTGCTATGTGTAAGGCAGCTAAAACAATGTAGACAGTTTTCTATGTAACAAAAATCAAACCACTTCTATCTTGACTTACTGCATCAGAGCAACAGTCATGAACATTATCAGAGGATGGAATTAACTGTGTGCGCTTGGACCAATTTATAAACATCAAATCAACTAGCAAATTAAACTGCCAAAATTACCTTTTCCAGGAACACCAGACTGAGATCAAGAAGAAAAGCAACAACCTATTGTCAGACTTTTGACATAATCCTCTGATAATGTCCAGTGTAACTGAAAAGCTTTTATTTTAAGTGCTTGTTTTCAGTGCTTACCTGGTCCTCTTCTGATGATCAAAACGAGGATGACGACATAGCCAAACAGTCAGACATACAACCAACCAGCAATCAGTATTCCTCTCCTCTGCTACAGTATTGCTTTAAGTTGTGAGTTTTTGCATCCAAATAAAGGTAGATTTTCATGAATCTGTGTTGCTGTCTTTCTGATTCAAGTCACATTACACTCTTTTGTTTGATAGATTGATGAAATGTGAAGGTGCACTGGATTCATGCTGCTTTAATTATCTTATTGTGAAAATTCCTTCTTGCACCACAGAGTGCAGTTAAGTTTCTTTGCCACCAGGTGTCAGTGTATACAACATAATTGCACATCCTGCCAATAGCGCTGCCACTCTGCATTTGCCTTCTTACTCACTAACACACTGATGGCAGAGCAACAGAACAAAGGCTTTCAATCAAACAAAAGAGAATGATACTGATGATACTGAATTCAAACACCCACTCACTACAGCTGTTTTATTCGGTGGTTAGTAAGAATGTGATACTGTGATGAATCAATTTTAACATCTGTTCATTTTCTTTATTGGGTTAACATATACAGTATATATAAAAATTCTTTATCTATTTCTCTTGAAGCCTGCAAACACTAATAGCCCAAACAACTCTGTGGGTGTGCAGGGCCTTTAAATCATAATCAGTTTATCTCTTTTTCTTTTTTCTACCCTCTGTATTTAAACTGTGCATCGGTCTGAGTTGCAAAAATTTTGCAATTGTAATGTGCAATTTTACATGTTTTTGTAAATCTGAGTATTACGATTTTATGGTTGTTGTATGGTTGGATTTAGCTGGTGGTTTGGGATAGACCACATTGATTGTCTTAAAGAACATTTTTAAATTAAAATAATATATTTAAATGAGACTTTAACTAACAGAGAAGGATATGTCATGTGCATCTGACCCTTAGTCCCAACTAGTCCCTGCACCTAACAGTAACAGTTTAGGCTATAGAAAGAAAAAGTGCAATTTTTCTGCACAACTATCCATGGTTTCCTACACAAAACCATGAATGCCTATATTAAAAACTTGTATAATATAAATAGTTTTGCCTGTGTGCTACTGTCAACCTGCACATGTTAAATGTAAATTATATGTAGACTAATTATTGTGATCTCTGCGTCACTGGCTCATCGCACTTTGTGAGCGCGTCTCCTTTAAAAAGTCGAACTGTCCCTTTAATCTGCGGATCAGAGCGCTGACGTCACCCAACCCCTGAGCCGTCTACGCTGATTGGCTGAAGGTGACGTCAACCTCATATTTTTTTCCCCTCTCCCTGCTGAACCATGACCTCATCGCTTTAGTTCATGAAAGTGCTAAAGTGCACCTTCTGTAACTGCCCCCCTCCCCCCCCTCCCTTCCTCAAGACACACTACCCGTTTTAACTTTTACCTAGCCTAGCTAAACTATCCCTTCAGAAGCCGAACACGAATCCTGATCAGTTAAACGTCTGAGGGAGCCGTTTGTGGCTCATCACCACGCTTTCATGTCTCGTTTGTTCCTGGCGCTGTCACCGTCCGTCAGCTGTACTGTCCCCCGCCACACCGCCAGGTAAACACCGGCCAGCCCCATGAAGACACCGCCGTTGTCCCCTCACACATGGAGACCAGTTGAATAACACACAGCAGCAGTGTGGAGACTGAGGTGAGTGTTTATGTGTATTGTGTGTAGTTTGAAGTTTGCTGTTATCTAGTGCGTTGTAACCCACAGAGCTAGCTTAATGTTAGCAGCGGTTGCTCGCCATCTGCGCCCCCCCTCCCCCCAACCCGACCCCACGCGCGCTGCTGCTGCAGCGACTCTGTCAGCGCGCACTCTCCGCTCTATGGTGCGCGCTCGTCTTATGATGGGAATTAAACCCGTCAAGGCTGAAGTTATCGATTCTTTTATTTTTACAAACATATCGTCCTTTGCCGTCCGACCATTTCAAGGTAGGTAGAAGACGCGTTTCCCTTTATTTTCTGTTTAATTTGCGCGCTGCTGTCTTTAATCATCACAGCCTGTCCGATCAATGGAGAGTTTCATCTTCGCATGCGGTCATATCCACGCGTCATAACAACACAGGGCAGGTTTCCCACTCAAACAACGCGCAGTAACCCTTTCCATTTATTTATACTTTGACATTACTTGATGCTTATCGTGCAACTATTGCAAAGGCAATGGCCGTTGTCCGCATTGTGTTCTATTCTTATTTCTAATCTAGGTCGGTTTATTATAGTGCGCTGCGCTCACCCTCCATTATTGTTATTAACGTTATCAAACAGGCCACAACGTCCCGTCTATTTCTTTGTGCGCTCCCTCACTTTGTCGGACGCTATCTATCTACGCTATATTTTATTATTTAGGCTATACAGTGCATTTTGTGTTAGGTATTCTTGGTATTATTTGTCTCAGTAATCATCTCGTGATTATTGTTATTATGGTAGAGTCCGGGGTAGTCCCAGTTTGTTATATGACCCTGCAATCTGCAACAGCCTCACTGGGGGAGTATTGATTAGTGTACATCAGAGGGTTTTATACCTGGTTATGTTGTTTACACTGTGATGACGCTTCTGCTCCACCAGGGCCAACCAGGAATTGATTTTTCTAAATTACACGATCACCACTCATGTTGCACTGTTTGTTTCCATGTATGCCATTTGTGTATGACAGGCTTGTCACTCTACTAACCCTATTTGTAATGAACACATTTATTATTTACATTGAACTGTTCATCCATACTGCTATAAACCAAATGTAGTAGATATCCATAAACAGTCTGTAGTTCTGCTTTAAGCCAGAGAGTCAAAACACTCAGTAAGATCCCAAACATTTAATTGATTACATTTGTGTTGAACTGTTAAAATCAATTTTCAAGCAGAAATTCCTTTTTTCGTCAAATTAGTATTAGCTAGGAAAAATTGGCAATAGAGGAAACAATTGACTGGTTGAGAAAATAATCTGAAAATAATTATTAGTTGCAAATAGAAATGTGATCTGATTTGTCTTAAAGATTAGCTAATGTAATGAAAACTGTTATCTGTTGTTGATCAGTTGGTGACCCTGTAGTTCTCCAACACTGTGCCTTGTTGTGGTGTTTTTTTTAGTGAGACATACACTCTAAAGAGACAGACAGCTTGTAAACACAAGCAGATGCATGAGATCCGTGAGATGCTCTGATGATGTAATTATTTGTGGCCTTAACAAAAAACTCATGTCTCTCATTGTATGAATCCAAGCTTTATATCAGCCTACTCAAGGCTGTAGCTACAGGTGACGTTATGCAGGAAGTTAATGAATAACCTGGATGGTATTACATCAGCATTGGTTGCCCTCCAGTTGCTCTCTTTGTGTTTGCCTCTCTCCCTGATGTCTGATATGGCATTATTGAGCTGGCCCATCATGCTTTGCTCATGGTTTTGTATGAAGGGCCTGTGAATATGTTTGTGTGGATTGTCCATTTTATGGAGATGAAACTATGTCTTTAAATTTATTTTATTGATGTATTACAAAGAAGCGTTTTTTTATCATCAGTATTTTGTTATCAGCTGTAAAGAGAACAACTTAGGTCTGTAGATGATTTGTGTGACTGTATTTTATCTGACAGGCCTGGGGAAAATGTACATAGCTCTGGAATTCCTCTTTCCTCTTGTTAAAAACACAGTATCACAGTCACACATACCTCTGTACCTCTCAATAAATAATTTATCTATCATCAATTTATTTTGATTATTAATTCATCTGTTAAATAGTTTTCATTAGTCATCTAATCAGCTGGGGTTTTTAAAAAAATGATCATGTTCTGTAGATTGTTATGGGCAGAGTAGACAGGTAATGCTTGGTTTATTCTTACTCTGTGATTTGTTAGGCATGTGAACTCTGTATAAATGCGGGGTTATCATCCAGGTACCTCTGCATTCATGGTTCTCATTGTCTTAAGGACAAACAAGTTAAAGTTTCATTACCTTGCAGGCAATGTAGGTAAATTCAACCAGATAAAAAAATAAGAAGTTCTTTAAAATCGACCAGTTGATCTGGTTCTTCTGCCTTCACCCTGTTAGTCAAGGTGTAACTGCATTGTTTGAACTTTAAGGAAGTGCACAGCCTTGTCTGCCTACATCTTTTGACCGCGTAGACTTTTTTGCACGTGGACTACGTGTTTGGAAAAGAGGTCAGAAGGATGTTGTTTTCCAACCAGCTGAGGACAAATATAGAAAAAAATGACGTTCAATTTTGCTGTCTCAGACTAGAGAAGGATGGGCCACACTGAGGCAGCAAAACAAAACAGAAAGAAGATTTTTACAGACCAATTTATAGACTACATAAGTGTAAAATCTCATCATTTGTTAGTTAAGGGAACATGATAACTTCAGTCTAGTTATACACAAGTTGCCACAATGTATTTTACAAGTGCGTGTTCTACTGCTTTAGCTCTCACTCTTGTATCCTCATCCAGCATCAGCACCAGTAGCATCCCATCACCATCACCCTCCCAATGCCCCCTGATCACCCCAACCAGGCTGTTTCTATGGCAACAACAGAATCTGCTCCGGGCCTGTACACACTGTCTCTGTCTCTCTGCTTTCTCTCCTCTCGGCTTGTTTTCCTCCGTTCAGCCGGAGCCTCACAGCAAGCTCCTGGCTGCTGCCTATTTTAGTTTGAGGAGCTTGTTTGTTTTGCTCTGCATTGTTCCTGCCTGGACGCAAGATGGAGGAAGAAAGATGGTTTTGCATAAGGGGACGTGTTGTGCTTGATACGCTGAGTAAGCTTACAGAGGTTTCTGCTTCTTATCTATATTATCCATGTCATGTCTCTCCCTTTCTTTATTCTGATATTTTCCTGTCTCTGTCTCTCTCTTTGTTCCCTTCATTTTCTCCTACTGTCTCCTCTCTTCATTCCCCTTCTTGTCCACACAAACGTGGTCCACACAGAGAGTGAGGTTACCATAGGATGATTGTCTAGCTGCACAGAAAGATGCAGAGCACCAGTCTCTCCCTCTCACTACTGCCACACATGTAAACCTGCACACTCCTCCACTACCCATCCCCGTTCACTGCAAAGAAAGAGAGTGATAGAGAAGGAAGGACGGATTCAGAGAGAAAACGTGCGAGAGGCGGGGCGGGTGGCAGAGCAGTCGCCATTAGACATATGCAGCGTCAGATGTTGTGCTCAGCAGCAGGGAAACAGCAAAAAGAGGGAGAAAGATTCACACCCCTGGAAGCTGTGTTGTTAGCCGCTCGGCTAAAGGGTTCTGCACCATATAAGGTATGGTATAACAGGTGATGGGGCAGGTCGTAATGTGGCGGGCGCTGTTTGTGTTCGGGGAGCGCTGACATTGCAGCAAGGCTTAGTACTTCTACAGAATAGCTGCTGGGGTGCATATCATGGGAAAAGTGGGGGAATGTCACTATGTCAGTATGCTACATGCTGTGTCGCTGCAGGTCACCAAATTGTGTGTGTATTAATACAGAAACCTGCATTCAGTTGTCACTATAACAGTGCAGATTAGATTAGATTATCTGGATTAGATGTATTTGTCTGTGTTGGTTTTTTAAGATACAGTAGAAGATGTATTATGTTTGCACACACATATTTTCCTTAAGCAGGATTTGTTTATGTTATGGCATAGTTGTATTTTGTGCACACCAATGCCGTTACTGTTGCTACTTTCTGATACAGCAGCAGTTTGGCTGTGCTTACAGTGCAGTTGCTACTGTCTATCTAGACTTTCTTCCGTGTTCCTGTGCTGCTTCTCTTGCATCAGGCAGGTTGCCAGGCAGCAACAGCATGTGTACATCTATGTTCAGGTTTGGACAGCAGACTGTAGTGTATGTGACAGAAAATGATTATTTCAGTGGTTCCGTTGAGTAATGATGCACAGCTTTTGTTGTTATTAATGTCACTGCAAGACATTTGTCACATTTCACGCTACATCATCGATTCTGCATCTATGTCTTAAGTTTGGTGCAGTCGTTTGCAAGTTTGTTTATGAGAATGTTAGCGATTTCTTGTTCCCCTCTTTCTCTGTCACTCAGCTCATCCCTTTTATTTTTCTCCCTCTTGCAATCAGTGTATTTCTTTTTATCTCTTTTCCTCCCCGCGCCATCCTCACAACTGTCCCCTCCCTTACCTTGAACTGGCTGAGTTGCTAGGCTGGCAAGATCCACGCCGAATAATATCCTTCACTACCCACCCCACCCCCCACCCCCCACTGTCTCTTCTCTCCCCTCTCCCACCGTGCATGTTGGTGGTGTAAGAACAGAGGTGAAAAGTTGCAGAGCAGAGCTGCCTGGACATCTTCCCAAGACACTAACAGATCAGAAGACACAAATTCTCCACATCTCCTCTCTCTCTCTCTCTGTCTCGGTTCTCTCGCCCACCTTCTCACCACTGTTCTGGTGTGCAAAATGTTTTTTCTTGATCTGCTTCACATAGGCATGTCTCCTCGGTTTTTTTTTCATCTTCACCATGCCTACATAAAGTTTTATTATCTTAACATTACACATTATTTTTTTCCTGTCTTTTCATTAATTATTAGGCCAAGTATTTTGTGTTTTTCAACTTTTATGCTCCTCCACTGTCTGTCCCTACACTTCTATTTCCTGTACTCTCCCTTTTCAACTGAGGTTTAAACCTCCATTTAAGCTTTGGGGTAAATGAGAGGAGGCCCATTCATTTTTCATGACACCGCGTGCCTGTAGATGAATAAAACAACACGACTGCATTCACATTCTGACCTTCTCACTAGTCGCATGACACCTGGTTGACCAAGGAAGTGGTCGTTAACCTACATAGGATTTTATCTATGTGTGCTCCCGAACAAATGGTACTGGAGTTTTTGTAATGGTCATGTGTTGCCTGGCACAATTTTTTCTCACACATGCAGTCATTGGTCATTCAACCCTGATAAATCATTGTGTGTGTGTGTCTGTCTCATGTCAGATGTACAAGTGCCATGGAGAACATGAGCAGCAAGAAGATCACAGTGATTAGTAGTGATAGATAGGAGGAGGCAGTCCATCAAGTTTATGGACAGCTCTTTGTGACACACACACACACACACACACACACACACACACACACACACACACACACACACACACACACGCAAACAGTCACACACATACACAGGATGTCACACAGGCCGTTTGCCTGTGTCCAGACCTGCTCTCTGAATTCCCCTGGCTTAATTTATCTCACGCCCTCAGTTTCCTGTTTCATGAGCTACCTCGCAAGAGACCCTCGATCAACAACAACCAACCTTCACACACACACACTGATGCAGACACGCACACACACACTCTGGTGTTTTGTTGTTGTGCATGTCAAAGTTAAGTCTTTGTCTTTGTATTTGGATGTGTGATATTCCTTCAGATCTCAGGACTGATAGATCCCAGTGGATGATCCAGTTGGCTTTTAGGTCTTTAAATAGCTTTTATATTCATGTTTAGCATTGTAGCTATTTTAATATGCAAGGTGCTCAAAGTCTGCCAATAAAAGATGATACGAATGCACAAAAATACACCTTGCATTAGACTTTAGTTTTGAAATTTATGCGTAATTAATCCATCTTTGTCCCTTTGTAGCAGAGGGGTTTGAATTGTTTTATTCGTTGCACTGGCATGATTGGACTGAAGCGCTGGACGAGAGGTGATCATGCCCTTGATGTCTGATCATCAGCTGAGCATCTGAAAACTGACAGTGGCTGTTTTGAATGTCACAGCTGGCCAATAATAGCATTGTAATAAACCACTGAATGCCATGCAGCACTGTGACTGTGTTTTAACTGTTACATTCTCTTCCTTTTCTTTTTCTTCTCTCTTTACTTCCTCTTTCTGCAGACACCATGGATCTCTCAGCGCCTGCTCCGGTGGCAGCCCTCCTCCACTGACCTCACCTCCTCCTCCTCCCCATCTCTTCCTCCACCTTTCCCTCTTTCATCTTTCCCTCTTCCTCCTCACCCCAACCCTTACTACCCCCACATCTGTGACCCCAGGGTTACCACTCAGCCCCTCCTACATCATGGCAGGGGAGAAAGGACCAACTAAGCGAAGCACCATGGACATCAAGCGCCTGGCAAGCCTCATCCAGAGAGGAACAGGCCGCTTACTGGTGATTGACAGCAGAACCTTTTCTGAGTACAATGCGTCACACGTGCAAGGTGCGGTCAACGTCTGCTGCTCTAAGTTGGTGAAGAGGCGACTGCAGCAGGACAAGGTGTCTGTCACTGAGCTGCTGCAACCCAATGGCAAGGTCAAGGTGAGTTAAAGCTCAACGTACTTGACAGGTGATGCTTTTTGGGGTGGTAGGATGTGATGCCAGTGATTAGAGAGCCTTTTTATCTAAGTGCCAGACTGGCACTCAGAGTATGTTTGTGGCAAGCTTCCACTTTGCTGTTAAGAACAAGACAATGGGTGGAGCTTCAGAGCTAGTTTTGCACTCTGACTGCCCTCTGGAAAGGGGCATGTAAAATGACAATATACATAAAGGGATCAATGGAATGGTGATCAATTAAATACTGGTCCTTTAACCCAGTTTGAGCTTATGAAGAAGCATTAAACGTCTTCATGTTAAAACTATCAAGTCAAGATTTTGATCTCTTTAATTTTGTCCCCTCGTACACACACCAACAAAACCCAGTTAAAAAGCTGATTATTTGACTTTAAAATACATGTGTGCCAAGCAGACTTTGGGGCTTTACAAGATTTTCCTCTGACAGGCAAAGGAAAACCTAGTGAGTCTTCTTGCAAATGAGGATGGGGAAATACTTCATTTACAGTACAGTGCGTCGGGATAAGTCAGCAAAATCTTCAGCAGAAGCAGCAGAATCAGCATGGGAACACAGAACATGAATGCAGAAGGGACTGCTGTGACAAAATATATTGATGAAGAATTCTGTTTGTTCCCTTCATTTGTTTGTTATTGGACAAAGAGCCACAGGAAATATGTTAGTCTACTGCTCAGTGCTCAAGGAATAAAGTTTAGGGTGTATTGTGTGATGCATGTAAAGTACTATACAGTAGATGCAGTGAGTTGGGACTGTAAGACTGTCTTTGAGATCTCAGATTCCACTTCCCATGTCAGCAAGTGTTCACCCTGCTGAAGTGTCCCTGAGCAAGACCCTGACTCCGTAATGTCTCCATCTGTTTCTCAGAACGTTTCCAACAGCCTGATCCGTGTACCACTGTGGTTCTGGATTGGGCTTCTTCTGTGCTAGCCCGTGCCTGCACCACATCAGCCGATGCTATATTTGGCGGGCAGGCCGGCTTACTGTAGGTTTGTTGCTTATCAGTGGCCCTGAAATCGGATCCTCCCGTTTTCCATGACTTCTCCTCCGAATATGACAGCCTTTTTTCCATGGCCTGTCCACTCGTGGCATGCTGACTCCAGTATTTTTAGTCGCTGTGTGAAACTGAAGGAACTCTGAGATGGGAAACCTAAACGGGCGTGGGGAGGGGGTTGACGTTTGTGTGTTTTATGCATGGGATGTGTTTTTTGCCACCATGTAGTTTGTGTGCGCATACATCACCCAGCAGTTTTACACGAGTGGACAAAAAAGCAACAACGAAACTGTGCAAGTGGCGGATGAAGGTCCTCTTCTTGGCAGCACTCTTTCTCCAAATGTTATTTTTAGGTATTTGTTTAACTTTTAACCACGACACGCCCACTGACCCGCAGTAGTCAGTGACACATAACAGGTGATTGAGTGGGATGAATGGCGGCCCATAAAATGCTATCACTTTTGTTTTTTTTTTGTTTTACTTCCTGGTTGCCAGGAGCAGGTTGGAGAGCCTGACCTGTCACTCATCTCATTCAGTTAAACCTACTTAAGAGAGTGAATTATGACCTGCTTTAAGCCTTGGAGTTGTAGCTGACAAACTGACTTTGTATTTCCATCTGGTGCATTGCATGAGAACTTTAATCACCAAAAACACACCCTGCCCACCAAATGGCAAATAATTATACATTATTGCTCTAGATTATTGCTTTGCCGCTCCTGTTGGATTACAGTTGACGCTTGTAGGTGACTGACACTTTCCACATGGTCAGATGGTAAAATGGATGAGAACTGTAGATTATTGTTACTTTCTCAAGTCAAATGACCTTCAGTTCAGCTAATAGCGTCTGTATAATTGGTACATTGGCTGACAGTCCCCTTGCGCCTGCTGTTTCTCACAGACTCTGTTATTCCAATTAGTTTTAATTCAGCTTTATTGCAAGGGCTTCTGGCAGTCGAACCTACATGCCATTCTTCTCACCCAAAATTTACCACTGTTAGCTGGACAAGGGTCTTGTGTAATGCCTCTTGTATTAGTGCTTTCTGTCAGCCTGAGTTACATGTACCTGGATACAAAAGAAGCTGCTAAGCCTGAAGGCCACACGGGAGATACAGCATCTGAGAATGCGTGACTCACCCCGACCAAAACATCCAGTTTAGCTCAGATAATGGTTTTATTTTGGGTTTTGACGATTACTCTTGCAGTCTACAGATTTAGACAGAAAAAAAACAACAACAACAAAAGAAAAGCTGGAGCGGCTAAAAAAGCTGGAGCTGGAGAGCTGTGAAGTGTGCAAGGCTTTGGATTTAGTCAGAGTTTGAGTTTCATTACTTCAGTCAGAGCAGCAAGCTTCAGTGTGTTTCTGTGCTGGGTGTGTTGGGTCCATGTCTGTGTGAGGGCCCTGTGGTTGGCAGATCTCATGCTGTGGCACCCTGTAGAGCCATGCTTCCTCCTGATTTCTCTCAGTTTCAGTCTCATGACAGCTCTGTCTGTCTGTCTCCCCACAACTGCAGCCTGCAGCTTCCCACCAACGACCTCTTCCTTCATCATTTATTCGTCCTTCCTCTCCTCTTCCTCTCCGTGCCTGGTGTTGCCCCATGGCTGGTTTGTTATTATCCATTCCCCACCCCCAGTAAAGAGGATAAGGCTTGCGATTAATGCTAGGCTGGATAAAGCTGGAACTAGCCGGGTGAGAGAGGAGGGCCCGACAGACCCAGACTCTTTTGTTATTGGCTAAGCATGACATCATCCCTTTTGTGCGGCCACTGGCAGGCCGCGGGCTGGGCACGTGCAGACTGGCTGCGTGGTGTTAAAGCCGGCTCCCAGCTAACCCCTCACACACACACACACACACACACACACAGATACACACACACACGCACACCATCCTCTCTACCCCCCACATGGCTCTGAGCATCGCCAGGAGCACCGCCTCAGCCAGCCAAGACAGCAAAGGACACCATTGTGGCTCTTTGTTGGGGAAGTGAATGCAGGAAGCGGGAGAGCAGTACTGAGGGTATTCATGGATGGGTTGCTGCCTCCACCTCCTCCCCGGCTGCCTCCCGCCTCACATCCCATTGAGCACTAATAGCCTGCATCCCCCAAAGCGCTGCACTCACCCTCTTTCATAGATCCTACCAACGCTTCAGTTAACTGAGCTGAATGAACATCTATGACCAGCACAGCAGCAATCAAAATGGTGTCCACTTTCTTCTCCCTTTCACATCCCATCCCTTCATAGCCTCTTTATTAATGCTCTCTGTTAATGTAGGTCAGAGAGAGCTGGACACAGTAGGTGAGGTAGGTGGTAGTGGACCTCTGCTGGGATAGAAATGGCACAGGCTTAGTTGGGAATCGTGCTTCCTCGTGCCTGTTCTGACAGGCTGCAGGGCAGGCGGCTGGTTTCTTGGCTTAAGTCTGGCTAATCCTTGATGCTGTGACCGGGACAGCCGGCCAGGCAGGCCTGACAGATGGACCAGAGGTTTTTGCTACCAGCAGTCAGGCTTGGGAATCACCCTTCCCTCTGTATGAAGACATGGAGGCCAGACCTCTGATGAACGGGACTCAGAGTCGTAGAGAGAATACAGCAGCCTACTCAGAAGACACAAATAGAGCAAGTTTTTGATCTGACATATTTTATGTAAACACAAAAATCCACTGGATTGGCATACTGACCTAAATGAGTGGATTGGGTATCAGCCAGATGTGACTGATCCACCATTTTTTTTCATCAGTGTCCTTGTAAGTTTAGTGTTTCCAGTAACTGACTACACAGAGTTCCACACAGTGTGGTACATAGATTTTAGATTTGGGGAAAAGAAGGTACGTGTATTGGATCAGGAATCAGTCTGATACTGGGATCAGTATCTGGAAAAGAAAAGGAACATTGCTCCTTACTAATTTATTGGCAATTGACTTAAAGAACTAAGAATGGTAAATCAATTACACTGGTTTATTAGTCAATAAATCAATAAGCTGAATGACAGAAAATTGATCAACAAGAAATTTTTAAAAGCATATAATCATTTAGGTAAATGCTGTTTAATGTAAATTGATTACTTTTGATTGCTGTACTGTTGGTCAGTTTAAACAAATGATTTCAAGACATATATAGATATATATAATGTACAGTAGGTATTGAAATACATATACAGCATATACTGGATTTATATATTGAAAAATATTGCATATGATGGGAAATTTTGCAATATTTGATATTTTGATATTATCAGCCCAAGTCTAAAACAAAGACAAAATGATTTAGCCTTATATCTAAGGGCAAAGACACTGGTTATGTCTTTGGAAAACACCATACAGTTTTCATAATAATATTGTTCTGAACACAGAAGTTTCCAGTAACTGCAGTACTCTATTTCAAAATTAAGGACAACACATGAGTGGTTGATGTGTCATTTGTCTTGACAGTAGCAGCAGAACTTAGTTGATGACTCACTGCATGGATTGTTTCCCTGATTACCCAGAGGGCAAACTGGGAATTTTTTAAATGTTTCATTCACATTTTTCCTTTTGCTCAGTTCAAACAAAGGCACTGTAGCCAGCGGTGGTTTTTCTACAGAGTCAGACATGTCATGTGTTTGCTTAGATGAGATCATGGCATGAATCATTGAATCATTGTTTGCTTAAAGATCCTACTGTCTAAGATAGACACACACTCATTTATTGTATAAAGTTTCAGACATAACCTACTGCACCCTGAAGTAGGAGTAACATGTATATAAAGATATACCTTTAAGATGTTAAAGAAAGATGGAGGAATGATTCAGAGAATCTTTGCTGATATGAAATGTGGTTTTTGTTATAGGCAAAGTGAGGAGGATTAACCGGATCTACAGCATGCATGCTCTTGATAGACAACATTTTAGTTTGTGTGTGTGACAGAGACAGACTGGCAGACAGACAGACAGAGAGACAGACAGACAGACGGAGATAGAAATTGTATACTTGTGTATAAATGTGTACAGGCATTACTTGCATCTGAATATGTAACCTGTGAGGAGCCTGGTGTGTATACTGTGTGTGTGTGTGTGTGTGTGTGTGTGTGTGTGTGTGTGTGTGTGTGTGTGTGTGCGTGTGCGTTAAAGGTCCTCTGACATTCAGCAGTGTGAGTGTGTGACCAGATCAGGTGACCACATCTATGGATGTGATGACCTCACACTGCACATGCACAAAGGCATCAGGGACTTTCACCACCCTGCCACATCCTTGTCTGAAACACACACACAAACACACATACACACACACACACACACACACACACACACACAGATACATATGGTTGAAATACTGTACTTTACACTGATGATATTCATTCCCTAACCCATAAAATTCATCTACATCCTCAACATAATGCTAAACCTGTAACCAAAACCCATAACTCTTACCACTATTTTGTGTTTGGTCCTCACAAGGATACAAGTACAGGAACTCCATGACACACACATCACACCTACTAAAGCATACATGGAAGTGGCAGCTGCCAGTGCCAGTCAATGACATCATCTGGCCCCAGGGTGATATCTGTACAGCGGCGAGTTGTATATGTCTCACCCTGTGTGACAGAGTCTTAAACTGAGGGATCAATTGCTAGCAGAGGTCGCTGCCTGTTGCAGCAGATCCTCTATCAGTACATAATGTACTGTATGTAGTGTCAGGTGTGCCACCTGGTGCAAAAGACTGACATCAAAATGCACAGTGTGTTTTTATTCTCCTGTGTCTACTCTTGGGCTCCATGCAGCTTTACATTCATAGTCTGAGCTGAAAACACTGCCAGTCAAAGAGAGTTCTTACTGCAGGCGACTTGTTTTCTGTGGGACATCCCACAGAGCACACACTGAGAGGTCCTGGACCGCGCTTCAGGAATGTGGGGCCATTTTTAGACTGTTTGTGCTGATGTTGTGTCACAGGCCGGTTCACACACAAACACACATACTGTCCTGCTCAGCACTGACCTTGTCACTGGTCAGTAGCACTGCTGAGGTCAGGGGAAACCATGTTTCACTTTCTTACACAAGCACTTACCGTACGCCAGGGCCGTGTTTTCCCACAATTCCACAGATATCTTTTGTTGCTACCCATCATTTATGTTTCATGTTGTGTTAGTGTGTGTTTGTGTTTGTGTACAAAGTGTCCCCACAGAAGAGCATTGACAGTAAGACCAAGCCCTCATGTGCCAGACCTTGTTTTTCCTCCCACTCCTTTCATATTTTATAACGCGGGGTCAGTTAGAAAGATGCAGAGTCTTCTGACTGTCTCTTGCGCAACACCTTCATTTTTTTTCACATTTTCTCTTTTCCTTAATTCACATAATCAGCACAAATGTACACAATCCTACTGGATTTCATCTGCTCTGTCTCTTACTTTCTTGCTGTCTTCCTTTGCAAATGACAGGAGAAAAATAACTTCTCCCCCTGTGACCGCTCCTTGTTTATGTCCTGCTGAGATGCCAGTCTTCAAATCCTTTACAGGAAGCTTGGGTGCTGCAGGATTGTAGCATTTGGTCTGCCAGTGCCACCTTCTGTCACTCTCTGCACCCTCCTCCTCCCTCTTATCCCTCTCCCTAAAGCTGATCCTCCTCCTGCCTCAACCTTCCCCTTGATCCCCTTCTTGGGCTTCCTCTCCTTGTTTCCTTCTCCCTTCTTTCCTCTCTTGTTTTCCCCCATTTGTTCACCTCTCTCCATCTCCCCTCCCTTTTCTCTCGCTCTTTGCCAGTGGCATTCCTTGTTTACCTGCAGTGTGCATGCGTCAGAGCGCCTGGGCCAGTACAGTAGTAATAGTGGTGATGCTGTAGCACTGCAGAGGGATGAGAGATCTGTACTACTGCTGCAGTCTTGACAGCCAGCCCCATGCTCCCCTGGGTCGTTGACCTCTAACACTGCAGCAAACTCTATGCATATCACATACGGAGCAGGATGTATAGCTGTAGCTTATCGTTCATACAAAATGTAAAGGATAGCTGATATCCTCCTGTCTGTACTATCATTCATCCACTATATTAAATATAGGCTGCTAATAATAAGCTGCTGTTTCTTTCAAACTCGCAGAAAGTGCATTCAAAGGGGGTGAGAGGAGGTGTAATTTCATCCTGCTGGCTGAGACGTTGAATGAATCTTCCAAGTGCACTGTGGAGATTGTGAAAAATCCACATTAAACAATATTTTAATTGTTCACTTTGTTCTTTTCAGATGAATTTTAATAGTCATCTGTTTTGTTGTAACATAACATCAACACCTCATTATAAACCCCATAAACTTCAATGCAGTGCTGGTTAGTAATTCCAAAGAGTGAGGAAAAATTCTTATACTGAGTAGTTTTATAGACAGCTTATACAGATGACATACCGTACATAAGATATACTGTAAGTTATGAAATCGTTAAGTAGGGATAAATGACCCACTGTTTTGTTAAACCTGAATGCATTACCCACTGCTTGTCCGACAGTGAGTAACAGACTGATTAACTATTTTATCTTTACTCCAGCACTCATTTTATGTTTTCACCCTAGAAGTGAAACTTTGTTTTGCACTGTTTGGCTGACAGAAAAGTGTGTGTGCATTTGTGCATGGATGCGCAGCATGTAATCCTCACGCATTGAGACCAAGATCCCAAATTAGATCTGATCCCATTAGGATTATTAGCCAAAATTATCCACGGTTAGTAAAGATGGAGGTGTAGGGCATTTAAAACAAAGAAAGAGACATGAAGATTAAAATGTAAGTAGGAAAAATAACAAATAAATGTGTGCTATAGACATTTAAAAGCAAGAAAAAGTGGAGTAATCACTCATTGTATTTTACATAAGCATGGCATTGATGTCTGTTACCCACAAATGCATGCTAACAGCCACCAGGCTCTTCTAACTAGTACAGTTTTATTTGATTGTATCTCTGCATTATATAGTCAACAGTTGAGAAATGACAAACATTGGGATAGACAGATGTGGATTGACATGCATCTTTCTCGATTGATGTTACAAATCAGAGTTTCTGCCGCAGCTTTCCACGCTTTCATGTCAGTGTTGGTGTTTGATGCAGGCAGGCACAGCTAAACCGGGTTTCATTGGACCAGTGTTACTTCTAACCAGACTGACTTTGTCCTGTCCAGATCACCTGCGTGGCTGTCTGCCAAGGCGCCCTGCTCCAGCTGCTCTGTAAGCAGAAACATAATCAGGCACACTCCATGCACACTGTGTAGCTGTGTATACCATGAGCTATCATCACCAGTGTGCCTTTCAGCACACACAGGGTGAAGAAGGGGCTGGGAAGCACTTGAGAAAGTGCAATTTTGCCTTGAAGCTAACGGCTGTTTCATGGCACGTTTTAGATGAGGATGGTGTTCTGTATGTTGAGGTAAACAAAGAAATGGAGTGGGTTGTTCTATCTCATCCTCGTCCCCCTCCATCTTCTATTTTCCCCTCCACCACATGACCCTTTTCCTCGCCTCAGTTTTCTCTTCCTCCTTTTCATCTTCATTTCCCCCTTGCATCTTTCCCCATCTCCTCTCCATCTTTCCCCTACCCTGCTACTCCACTACCCCTCACAATCTCTGCCCCCCCCTCCTTTCTGCTCGCCCTCCATTCCTCCTCCCCTCTCTCTCCTCTCCTGTCCAGTGGCAGTTCAATGATGCAGTGATTCATAGCTGCAGTAGGCGCTGCCTGATGGTCATGTGACCAAACCCTGCCTGACAACATGGGGAACAACACACAGCCTGGTTCGTGTGTGTGCACCAGCACATGCTCATACTCTCCCATGCAAACACACACACACATACACACACTTCATCACACTGGCGCATGCTCATATCTTCTTTCTGACAAAAATGACATAAACAGCATCACATTGGTGCATTGATGGACACCAACACCCTTATTGGTGTAGCCAGCTTTTATGATTTTACTGACATCACCTCCTGTTACAACAAATAACCCTCTCAGCAGTACCTGCACAGTAAATATTACAGTCATAGTTGCACGGTGCAACACTCAGCCTTCATGCATAATTCATCCCATCTTCATAACTTACTCTAGAATCACCTCGAGTTCCTCCTGCTTACTGTTGCCATCACTGGCATCAACAGAGCCAGTGTTTATTGTCACAACTGCCAGTGCTGTGTTTGTGAGTTCATTTTCTTTTCCTTGTTGCTGCTTCCTGGTGTATATAAGGGCAGCCGCAGCAGCTCACGAGCATTTATTGTCAGAATGTTGTTGCATGACCTCACTCAGCCAAGAGAAGATGTTTCCTCATGACAAAGCATCTCTGATGAAACATACACTTAATGACACTGTCCAATATGCTAAGTAGATGCCAGTCATATTAACTAACTCTGTCTTTCTTGTTGGTGCTGAATGCTTGCTGTATTTTCCACAGTGCTGAACTTGATTCGCTTCCTTGTTGTTTATCCTTTTGTGCAGGTGGAGCTGGGCAGGAAGCAGGAAGTGGTGGTTTATGACCAGAGTTCCAAAGAAGCAGGGCATCTGTCCAAAGATGGCTTTGTGCACATTCTCATGGGAAAGTTGGAGGGCACCTTCCACAAAGTGTCCCTGCTCACCGGTATGTTAGTGTGTGTGGAGCATGATCGTGATGAATGCAGTGTGAGCAGGATATATAAGAGGAACAGCTTCTAAATTTCTTTGTGTTTCTGTATTCATTACCCTTCCTTCACTGAACAGCAAGCAGGCGTATGTCACCTCATCCCTGTGCTTTTTTAAGTGGAGTAGCTTGTCATGGCACAGTTTGGTCAGCAGATGTCACTAACGAGCACAACAAAGTGTTTTTCTCCCCAGTCATGTTATACTAGTTGTTTCTCATTTCTTAACTGGCAGTAGTCAGACTTTCACAGGTTCACAGGTACAAGTGGAGGTAGCAGAGAGAGCCTGGATACAAAGCCTCTCTGGTGACTCTTTGATGCTTAAGCTTCCCTCCAGTCTTTCTCTTACCCAACATCACTGAAATACAGCTGAAGCTTAACTTCAATCCCCTGGCCTTATTTACCACAGTTATTATCCTGTCATAGTGTCCACTAAGCACACTAAGACTTATAATTGAGCCCCAGCAAGACTGTTAATAGCCTCGTTGAGTTAATAACATCTCAATTGCAGTGGCTGCAGCTTTTTCAGGGATGACATTACACACACATCCACCAGTGGAGGCGAATGAATCCACCCCAAATGTGTCAGCAAAGAAAGGAGAACGTAATCTGCCTCAGTCAGGATTGGAAATAAGACGGCAGAGGCATGCTGCTCGGGCAAATCTCTGCTCTCTTCTCCGCATCCCCATATCCCCATTCTTCTTCTCCTCCTCTCAGTTCTCCCCCTCCGCTGGGAGATTAGCGCTTTTTCCTGAGTCATTCATAGATGCCGAGGATTGCCTCAAAGCACCCAGGCTCCACAATTAGTCGCAGTCACAGAGATGTACTGAGCACATGCTTAGGCTGGGCACACCCGAACATACTGTATTGCACACACACACAGCCGTGTTCAGTATCTCACACACACACACACACACTAAAAGCTAGGATTTTCCTCCCCAGCTTTTTTGATCAGACATCATACCCTTCTTAATGAAAGACCCCTTGTCAGCGATTACCTCCGCTTCCTCTTTATCAGTCTCCTCAGCTCACTCCTGCTAAATTTCTTCAGGAGAAAAAAAAGAGAAATCTTTTTTTCCTTTCATCCATTTTTGTCCCTGCTTTTCTGCTGTTTCCACGACAACAGTGGCAGAGAATATTCCCCAGAAGGACTCAGCCAATGGCATTGGCTGTTGTTTGGGTGGTTGTATTATTGGGGTCAGTGGAGCTAGCAGCCAGTCTGTGCATACTTGATGTTTACGTGTGCATGCGTGTATGTGGGTGGGCAGATGGAGGGTATTGCGTGTACATGCAAGCATGCATTCGTGCATCATGTGGATGAGTGCTGCAGGATCTGCATGTTTCTCACAGAGATGATGTGAGTTACGAGATGGGGAAATGATTGGCAGAAATCTTTTTTTTTTTTTTTGAACAGTTGCTGCTTAAATTATTTTGATTAACAAGATGTGATCCTGATTAGAAAATAATGAGTGAAGGTACAACAATTAGTTAACTGGTCAAGTCATCTATCAAGCATGAATTGCAAGTATTCTCTGGTCCCTGTTTCTCATATGAGGATTTTTCTATTTTTGTAACCCTGTAAATTGAATATCTTTGGGTTTTAGACTATTGGTTGGGAAAAATAAGTGATCTGAATTTTGTGGCAGGCATGTTTCACTATTTTCTGACATTTTATGGGCAAGAAGATAATGGATAGATTAAAATTATTCTTAGTTGAGGCCCTTCTTTATTCCCTCCTTCCTTTTTCTCTGCCTTTCTCCTCATTCCTGGCTTTAATTGGCTTTACTCCCCCTCTCACATTCTTAAAGTTTCAAGATACTTTAAAATTGCAAACAGTAATCCTCCTCACACACTCTCTCTCTATCTCTCCTCTTCCCTTCATCCTCTACCCTCCCTCTCCCGCCCCCTTTTCCACCTCTCCCCCCTGCCTGCCCCTCTACAGAGCCTCTGATTTATGATGCTAATAATTCCTGCGATGACTTCATATCTGACTGACGAATTATTTTCAGCCTCACGCATGCAGACCACACACACATACGCACATGCACACACTGTAACATTGCTGCAAATCAAGTGAGGGGTAATGCGGTCGGGAGGGGTGAGGAGGTAGAGTCAGATAGTGAGATGAAAAGAAAAGAATCCATAAATGGGATGGACAGGGTGAATCAAAGAATAATTACTGAGCTTGCTGTCTTGGGGGAATAGGATTTTCTGCCTTAACTGTTACTCATGCAGAGGCTTTCCACAGAGAGATTAGGGCACAATCTTGCAGAGACACACATTTCAAAAGTGGGTTTATGTTTTCCATATTTTAAAGCTAATTTTTTAATTACTTTAACCTCGCTGAAACTAAGAGAATTACTTGATAGGAGATTGGCAGATAAGCTGCTTAAATAACAGGCTACATCACATAATTGCATGTACTGGGACCATATTGATCCAAAACCAATCGGTGACTCCTCTTAGGTTTCTCTCCATTCACTAATAATCAATAAGTCAGGTTTCAGAGCGCACACCACTTCCTACATTTAGATGAGGTCATAGAATGAACCGTGCCCCAATAGATCCATTGCTTTTGTGAATGAGGCAAGCAATCCAGGCAGCGAATGCCTCTCACCCCGTGTTTAGTTTGAAATATATATTGACACTGGATGTGACGGTGGTGGCAGTTAGAAAATGTTAATGTGCGCACATGCACATGAATGCATGTGTGTGTGGGTTATGCGTGTATGCTTGTGTACACTTGTATGTGTTTGGGTTATTTCTTCATCGACTGTGAGAGTGTTTGTGAGAAACATGTCTCTCTGAGGACAGCCGTTTTTTTTTTTTTTTGCAACAGCAATGATCTCACCCATTTGGAGCTCAGGCTGATGTGTCTTGCCTTTTTCAGAGTTCAGACTTTTTGTAATGTGTATTTGTGCGTGTGAGTGTGTGTATGGAGGAGAACATCACTTGGTTGGAGCCAGCTGCCTCCCCAGTGGGTCTAAAGTTTGCGTGTTTCCCACCAAGCTGCAGCACACAGCCAAACCAAAGACAACACTGCCTGCTAGTGTGTAGCTAGGTGGTATGTTAGCTGATGCCAGTTGCGTAGCTTTGTCATGCGTCACGTCAGCTTTGATGTACGTCTGCCAGGGTGAAATGGTTTGACGCTGGCATTCAAACCTCATGTTCTAGTTTTAACAGAGGAAGCTGTGGTGACAGAAAAGAAAGAGAATAATCAAAAAGGGAAAAGAGAGAGAAGAGAAAGTGTGGAATATGTACTCATGTTCTACAGATGAAAAGAGAGAGAGTTGGATGAGGGTTTCAAGTGGACAGGAGGTGGTGATAAAAATAACAGCGCATTTTATTCATAGCACACACATTTTGCCGAAGTACTGTAAAACCTGACAGCTAGAAGTTAGAAGCCTGAAATAAAACAAATGCAAAAAAGAAAAAAGAACAATATAAAAGAGGAAATGAAGGTGTAGGGACATGCAGGTGTGTAATCATCCAATCTGTATGTGGGTCTGTGTATATATGTGTGTGTGGAGGTTGCAGATGTGCAAGACTGCTCCTAATCTTTCCCAGTGCCATCTGCCAGTGTTTTTCGTGGGATTACTAAAGCGTCACACCACTGGGTCAAAGAGATAGAGCAAAAGGAGAAAAAAGGGACACACAAGGAAATGAGATAGAGATGAGGGATGAAGGCACGTGCTGGACGTGACTAGATTCTCTGCGCTGGGAGATGGAGGGCAGCATGATCAGGACATCTGAACTCAAGTGACTTCACTTACGCTCAACAATTATCTTTAACTAATAATGCGGAAACAAGTTCTTAATCAACAGAACGATTTTGATAATTGGTTTATTGTGTAAGTAATTTCTGCTCGTCTCTGTGTTATGTCATTGTAAATAGAACATCTTTGGGTTTTGAAAGTATGCAGGACATTTTTCACAATTTTCTGACAAACTGATAATGAAAATAATAACAATGATAATAATGCAGAGGTAGTTGTTCATCAGTCAAATAATTTATCCACAAAATGTAATCCAGATACATAGATAAGTATATAGATGTGACCTCTGACCTCCACCTGTCATGCATCAGCTAAACAGGCTTAGTGAGATTTGAGCTGTTTCACATTCCTCACTACATACTAAAAGTCCAGGTTTTGAATAATGTTATGCATTCACACTGAAAAGTGGCAAAATTAAGTACACTCAAAGATGTCATGATGCATACTAAATTCACGTAACCTTTAATTGTGGGGTCGATGGACAGTGTTGTCCCAGATGTGCACATCTGGAAAGAATTAAAGCGCAGAAACAGTTTATGGACACTGAAAAGAATAGAGAATACACTATTCAGTCTGTTTTCATTTCTCTTTCTTTAGTCTCTAGTTTCTGTGTCATTTCTTGTATGAGTGAAACATATATGACAATGATAAATATATGACGCGTACTGCAGTATTTGTATGTCGTATGTAACTGGGACATAGTTTTGGTTTTCACAGGTTAGCACTCTGAGTCCCACGCTGTCAACCTGCCAGCTCAATGCAAAAGTACACAGGAAAAGACATGACGATGACACACTGATGAGAGGTATTAGGAGATGAAAGGTGCCGCTCTCTCTCTCTCTCTCAATTTCTTTTTGCTCGCTCTCTTTTTCTCTCACACACACTCAGAATGCACACAGGAGCTGCTGTGTACCCCGGGGCTTTGATGAGATCAGGTTAGGGTGTGACTGCACAGACAGAGGTACAAAGGTCAATTTAGTTATGTGTCATTCTTCTGTGCAGTTATACAACGGGGCGGCGGCCCCTGTGTGTGTGTGTGTGTGCGTGTACATCTGTCTGTGTGTGTGTGTGTGTGTGTGTGTGTATGTGTATGTGTGTGTGTGTGTGCATGTGCGTGTGTGCATGTGCATCAGAGAGAAGCTGAAGAGGTGAGGTAATCGTGGGAGGCCAAATCTCACAATGCAGCC